ATTGCGGTTTGGCCGGGGCCAGGCTCAAACCCACCACTCTTGGTACATGGGGCTGGCGCCCCACTTACTGAAACACAGGCACCACCCTCAAATTTTTTTTTTTTTTGAGATAGGGTCTCAAGTTGTCACCCTGGGTAGAGTACCGTGCTGTCATAGCTCACAGCAACCTCCAACTCCTCATAGCAACTCCCAACTCTAGGGCTCAAGTGATCCTCTTGCCTCAGGTTTTCTACTTTTAGTAGAGACAGGGTCTGGCATTTGTTCAGGCTGGTCTTGAACTTGTGAGCTCAAGCAATCCACCTGTCTCAGCCTCTCAGAGTGTTAGGATTACAGGTGTGAGCCACTGTGCCTGGCCCCTAAAACCCAATTTTAACAGCAGCTATCATAGATGAAATGCCTAGCACGTTCGTGGCACTGGGTAAACATTATCTCCTTATTTCCTCTATTCACACAACAACCCTCTGACGTAGTTGTACCCTGCCTTTAACATAGGAAGAAAACTGAGGCTCATTCAGTCCAAAGCCAAACAACCAGTAAATAATGGAGCAAAGATGAAACCAAGGTCTGGCTGGTACAAAGGTTCCTTCCACTATATCTTGATGCTCTTCAAATATGTCCCGTGTTTATCTCCCCATTAATCAGTGTTGCTGATCCTAGTGATTTTAAGCATAGTAAACCTTTCCTTGTATTATATCATAATTTTAGGGTCATGTACAGATGAGATAAATATGAATTTAGATATGTCAACTAAAAACTTAGATAAATGATCTTAGATGGTTTCAAATATCATCTCAAATGCTGCTTGTAGTTTGGAACCATGTAAACAAAATCCAGTTGATAAGTTAATGCTATCATATAAAACTAAGCATAAGTTCCACAGCCATTAACTACTGACAAGAAGTTAACTATTATAGACAGTTCCATTTATTCTACTCTTAGCAGAGAAACAAAATCAAAGCTATAGCTGTTGAGATCACGTGATACCTCTTGTTTGAGCTGAAGAAGCAGTTTCCGAGTGGATGCTGCCATTTTGGCACAAGAGCAGGGACTCCCTCCAGGTCCATGACAAAGGCAGGCTCCAAGGACTGCAAGCTTTAAATCCAGAGCATTACTAAGTGTCACACTTTTGGCTGCACACAAACACAGGGGCACCCACCCACACACACCCATGCACATTACTATTCAAGCACCTAATCCAAAGAAACTGGAAAGGAAAAAGAAAAAAGAAGAAAGCTGAAACCAGATTTTAGGATCCAAGTGGAAATTAACTACAAATGAGGAAAGACTGCCATTACTTGGAAAAAAACATAAAGTAATTTTACTTATCTTCATTTCACTCTTAAAACCCTTAATCCTGACATCAGTACCTATAATTTTGAGCCTTGGCAGGAGTTTAGCTTAGGACTAGTTATGGTTAACACTAACATCCACGGCATGGGTTTTCTGTGATGGTTTGGTCCTCATGCCTGGAATTCACTAGGGTCAGTTCAGAATATGAATGAATTGGGGTGGTGCCTGTGGCTCAAAGGAGTAGGGCACCAGCCCCATATGCCAGAGGTGGCGGGTTCGAACCCAGCCCGGGCCAAAAACTGCAAAAAAAAAGAAAAGAATATGAATGAATTTTAATATGCTAATGAGGAACACAATCATCCTTATACTTCTAAAAGAAATGAATAGTTCATATGGGTCACTTTTTCTTTTTTTTGAGACAGAGCCTCACTACCTTGCCCTTAGTAGAGTGCTGTGGCCTCACAGCTCACAGCAACCTCAAACTCTTGGGCTTAAGCAATTCTCTTGCCTCAGCCTCCCAAGCAGCTGGGACTACAGG